TCTTACTTGCCACTTTATTACTAGCAAAGCTAATCTTGAGAAAAAAAAGAAAAGAACTTATAATAGAATGATAGACAGTGTTAATAGACTCTCTAGACCAGCCAACACAAACTCTAAGATCTCTGGTTGTTGTGATGTTGGAGGATATTCTGATTGTTGTGATGTTGGAGGATATTCTGATTGTTGTGATGTTGGAGGATATTCTGATTGTTGTGATGTTGGTAGATATTCTGATTGTTGTGATGTTGGTAGATATTCTGATTGTTGTGATGTTGGTAGATATTCTGATTGTTGTGATGTTGGTAGATATTCTGATTGTTGTGATGTTGGAGGATATTCTGATTGTTGTGATGTTGGTAGATATTCTGATTGTTGTGATGTTGGTAGATATTCTGATTGTTGTGATGTTGGTAGATATTCTGATTGTTGTGATGTTGGTAGATATTCTGATTGTTGTGATGTTGGTAGATATTCTGATTGTTGTGATGTTGGTAGATATTCTGATTGTTGTGATATTGTGGGTATTCTGATTGTTGTGATGTTGGTAGATATTCTGATTGTTGTGATGTTGGTAGATATTCTGATTGTTGTGATGTTGGTAGATATTCTGATTGTTGTGATGTTGGTAGATATTCTTTCTGATTGTTGTGATGTTGGTAGATATTCTGATTGTTGTGATGTTGGTAGATATTCTGATTGTTGTGATGTTGGTAGATATTCTGATTGTTGTGATGTTGGTAGATATTCTGATTGTTGTGATGTTGGTAGATATTCTGATTGTTGTGATGTTGGTAGATATTCTGATTGTTGTGATGTTGGTAGATATTCTGATTGTTGTGATGTTGGTAGATATTCTGATTGTTGTGATGTTGGTAGATATTCTGATTGTTGTGATGTTGGTAGATATTCTGATTGTTGTGATGTTGGTAGATATTCTGATTGTTGTGATGTTGGTAGATATTCTGATTGTTGATTGTTGTGATGTTGGTATCTTTTCTGATTGTTGTGATGTTGGTAGATATTCTGATTGTTGTGATGTTGGTAGATATTCTGATTGTTGTGATGTTGGTAGATATTCTGATTGTTGTGATGTTGGTAGATATTCTGATTGTTGTGATGTTGGTAGATATTCTGATTGTTGTGATGTTGGTAGATATTCTGATTGTTGTGATGTTGGTAGATATTCTGATTGTTGTGATGTTGGTAGATATTCTGATTGTTGTGATGTTGTGATGTGATGTTGGTAGATATTCTGATTGTTGTGATGTTGGTAGATATTCTGATTGTTGTGATTGTTGTGATGTTGGTAGATATTCTGATTGTTGTGATGTTGGTAGATATTCTGATTGTTGTGATATTGTGGGTATTCTGATTGTTGTGATGTTGGTAGATATTCTGATTGTTGTGATGTTGGTAGATATTCTGATTGTTGTGATGTTGGTAGATATTCTGATTGTTGTGATGTTTGTGATGTTGTTGGTAGATATTCTGATTGTTGTGATGTTGGTAGATATTCTGATTGTTGTGATTCTGATTGTTGTGATGTTGGTAGATATTCTGATTGTTGTGATGTTGGTAGATATTCTGATTGTTGTGATGTTGGTAGATATTCTGATTGTTGTGATGTTGGTAGATATTCTGATTGTTGTGATGTTGGTAGATATTCTGATTGTTGTGATGTTGGTGTGATTGTTGTGATATTGTGGGATATTCTGATTGTTGTGATGTTGGTATATATTCTGATTGTTGTGATGTTGGTAGATATTCTGATTGTTGTGATGTTGGTAGATATTCTGATTGTTGTGATGTTTGTGATGTGTGATGTTAGATATTCTGATTGTTGTGATGTTGGTAGATATTCTGATTGTTGTGATGTTGGTAGATATTCTGATTGTTGTGATGTTGGTAGATATTCTGATTGTTGTGATGTTGGTAGATATTCTGATTGTTGTGATGTTGGTAGATATTCTGATTGTTGTGATGTTGGAGGATATTCTGATTGTTGTGATGTTGGTAGATATTCTGATTGTTGTGATGTTGGTAGATATACTGATTGTTGTGATGTTGGTAGATATTCTGATTGTTGTGATGTTGGTAGATATTCTGATTGTTGTGATATTGGTAGATATTCTGATTAATTTTCATGTTGAATTATATTCTGATGTGTTGTCATGTTTGAAAGCACTCTGATTGGTTGTCATGTCCAAGAGCCCTCTGATTGGTTTTCATGTTGGAGGGCATTCTGATTGGTTGTCATATTGAAAGGCATTCTGATTGGTTGACATGTTGAAGGGCATTCTGATTGGTTGTCATATTTGAAAGCACTCTGATTGGTTGTCATGTCCAAGAGTACTCTGATTGGTTGTCATATTGGAGGGCATAGTGATAACTTGTTATTTTTTATGGCATTAAAACTTCTTATATAATCAAGCACATATTTGTGATATCAGGAAATGTGTATATCTGGATGGGAACTCGATTCCACACATCACCCAAAGTTAAGATGTAATACTGTATAACAACTCTTATTGCTACTTTCTTTCTCTTACTCAAAAGAATTCTTCTTTGTCTGTGTCTAGCTTCATGTTCCCTCACTAATCCCCACAATACATATATGTGACCTCTGGTTTCCTAATTAAGCATGCATCACCAATCCATCATGCTAGACTGCCCTCTCCAGGTGCTGTATGTTCACCTGGCCAGGAACCCTGGGAACCTCCACAACACTACTACCTGCTTAATTGTCCTACATTTGTCAGTCATCGGTAAACTAGGTACACATTGTGATGAAGTTTTTTCAGCCCTTGTCGATGACAATTGAGTTTTTTTCACCTGGCCAAACAAGTTAGGCGTTACAGGTGAGTGTAAGGGTGTGAGATTGTATATGGCTGGTGTTAATGTAAACAGAGGGTGTAACAGACACTTCACCGAATATTCGGGTAAAGTCCAAGTGAAATTTTCAATACTGGAGAGTTTTTACAATGATGTCCTTAGATGTGTACTTTCCAAGGTTTGTTGGACAGTTTCATTGTTCATCAATGTTAATGTGTTTCGATAATGAAGGTGATTGTGTTCGGAAATGACCGAAATGTTATCTACACATGGACACGAGATAACAAATGCCTGTCACATACCAGCAAGCATAATGATATGATAGGACATTGCACTGATGGAGTGTCCAGTTGATAGATAAAAATCAGATGCTTTGTTTTCATTGCAAACTGTACAAGATATAATAGCAGAAATATTGGATGGTATGGTATCCTAGAGATCTAGTTTTATGTGTTCGTTGCAGACAATGTCACAATAATGTCCAATTTTGATGTATTGACCAATGAGTAGCTGCAATAAACTATAAAAAATGAATCACGGTGATGAATAGTATATCTATGCAGGCCGTGCTTATTGGCTTGTATGCACATGGGACTGTATCGCAAAACTCTATGTCTCGCTTCCGAAGACCAATATCTGGTTGCCATGATTTTTCTGACTGCCTAACACAGCCTACATTAGTTCTTTCTCCTAGGATAAATTGTGAAGGTCCTCCTGTCCATCTCCTCAAGGTTAGATAAACTTTCTCTAGTTGAACAACATATACAGACAGGTGGTTGGTGATAACAGGCTACATTTGTATGAGGTACTCAGTAACAAAGAGAAAACTTTAATCCAATGATAATCACCGCACATTCTCAAGCAAATAGAATTAAAGTTGAATAAAATTTGCATTTATTCTGTCTAACTTTCATATCTGCAGGCTTTCAGAGCTAGAAAATTATTGGTGACATAAACGTAATTAATGATACACCATTGTAGAGTAAAGACACTCATGGCTTTATGTCTTTGTGCATGTATTATAACATGCGACATTGTTCTGTTGTTCTTTATGTGCTATCATGCAGTGCTGTAGCTGTCTATTTTCTGTCACAGCTTGGTTTGTTAGAAAGAGACATTGACACTGCAAGGTCTAATAAAACTTACAATATGTAATGTATGTTATTAGGTTAACTACATGTATACTGGCATGGTTTTCAGCTCCATTACTTATATGTTACAAGGATAAACACATAAATACTGTTAAAGAGTTGAAATATCGTTCATTTCATAGGGCCTATGGGCTTATTAAAAGACATCTTTTAATATTTGAAATTAAAAAAAAAAAAATTGAATACATATTTAAAAATGCTCTTATTTCATTTGTTATTGTAGCTTAAAAGAAAAAAAATGGTCTTTGGAATACCTAAAGAAGCTATGTCCCTATTGTCATCACATGTTCCCTTCTTTAAACTAAACTGGTTTAAGGAATGATAATAGCATGGTGGTATTTAAAAAGCTATTCTGCATGCCTTGTTTGAATGTTTAAGTCACAGGAATTTCTGACAAAAAAATAAAGGTTTTTGATATATTAGGCTTTCCAAGGTTTCAGATGTGTGTCGTACTTCACATTTTGATGTGTCTTAAGACTCCATGTTATAGTACCTTGGTACTTCATACATACTCAGTTTTAGATAGAGTTAAAGCTATTTGACAAACATTTGTTGAACAAAAATCCTGTGTTGAGTATTGATTCTTATATATAGCTGTAAGTGGTTAAGAGGCAGAATTATACATCACTATAGTGTAGATGTGATAACACATTTATCACTGGAGAAGTTCTATGTGTCGGTCCTTATACTATTACCTTTGCATAGCAAGGTAGGCACTTTATCAAATAATTAGAGTGGAGGAAACCATTTGTCGAATGTAAACACATTTGTCATTTTGACTCGAGTAATGTGTAAAACCAGCTGTTGCATGCTTTAATCAGTGCTTCTTCATACATGTATGATTTAAATCCTTTTTTAATGTTTTTAGATGTAACAGAATGTTTCCGAAATGTGATCTGTCCATCACATGATGGAAGGCTGACCACGGGATAGATGTAGCAGCCAGATGAAGTTAGGAGACAGCCTAGTCACCACAATCTTTACCTTTGTGACTTAGATGTAAACTTCAGAAGCAGAATGTCCTCGAAGACTAAAGCAAAGGGCTCCAAACTGGGGCTTTTCAAGTTCCGCAAGAGTACAACAGATGTAAGTAAAGACAGTTGTATTGTACACAGCAGGTATTTGTCTAGGTGTAATGCCTGTTTTAAACTCAAAGATCATTCAGACTTGTCATATGATTGAGTGCGATGTAAAATAGAACTGGCTCTAATGACAAAAATCCTTTTTATACAATACTAAAGTAAGTCTTAGATAGAAACTAAAGCAAAATGCTCCAAACTTGGGTTTTTCTGAGTAATGACAAAATTCAATTCTATTTACAAAACATCTTCATATTGTGCACATTTAGTTTGTGGTCCATAGCGCTGAGCATAAAACTCAAGGACATAATAATCAATATGTGCTATATGTGACTGTTGGGACATGACTGGTGAGAATCTGGACAATATTGTGAATTTTTTGTTAAGATTATCAAGGCAAAGAAGGAAAACATTGAGTTTCATTTTCTGGTTTCGTGATTTTATTGTTCTGAAGATCAGCTCCACCTAGACCGATACATGCTTACTATGGCTTACAAAGTCCGAGCCTATCCTGGTTGTAGTTCCAAACAATCCATTATCTCTGGTCAGCTGTTAAAACCATGTCCAAGGTCATTTTGTGTGTTCATCCATTATACACTTGTCCCTAATGAAGGTATTGAGGTCTAGTCGTGCTGTCTTTCCATCAGGCAGCACCAAGTAACGACAAGCAGCATTTCCATAGTAAACAACAAGATTTATCATGTTTATGTACACAAGTCTTCAGAACATTTACATTGCATCAGGGTTACTTCCGAGTCGTCTGGACATACAATTAAAGTGACCTTGAAACAAACATGAATATTGATTTGTAGATGATAAGCACTGCTTTGATTGGTTTGGGAAATTAAGGAAAATATTCTGATAGGTGAATTAGAGACAAAGTCAGTTAAATTGGTAGAAAACATGAAAAAATTTATTTGATTGGCTTGGGAATATGAGATTGGTTGTGAAAGATAGCTACATTTTGCTCAATGTTGACATTTTATTCATAGAGAAGAAACAGATCTCTAATTTGAAATAACTGCATGAAATGTCAACAGCTGCCACAAGTGACAGATATGAAATAAATGTGTATTTTAGGGTCAGTTGGATTTAAAGAAAACATGAAGTTAACAATCTTTGGAATTATAGTAAAAATCATGTAGCCCAGTTGTTTGTTTCAATGTCTATACATTAAGTGATTGATTTGTGAATGACAGGAGACATTTATTTCGCTGTCCATTATTGGTTTGCTATAAAATTGTTATGGCTGCCATTCAAATATCTTTTGCGAATAACAATTTTTTTAATGCCATTACGAAATGAAGAAAAACAGACCAGAAATGATATCTATATGTCAGACACTAGAGTTGTAAAAACTGCTGTAAACATTTGTTTATTATCTATATATACATATTTACTGGTTTATAAAAACTGTCATGTGACCAGATGTGTAAACAGTGGGGGCTTATCTATCAGACATCTTAGATGATCACATGTTGTTGTAAATCTCAAAGCATCATCTAGGAACATCAGGTACGCAAATTGATTGTCGTAATATATTTATCAATGTCCTATACATTTAATTGGTATTACCATTAGTAACATGGTATTCAATGGTTACTGTTCTTATTAGTAACATGTTGTGACAGGGATACTGTTACTATTAGTAATAATGTGTCCACTGGTTACTGTTCTAATTAGTGACAAGATGTCCTGAGGTTATTGTTACTATTAGTAATAATGTGTCCACTGGTTACTGTACTAATTAGTGACAAGATGTCATGTGGTTACTGTTACTACATGTAATAATGTGTCCACTGGTTACTGTACTAAATAGTGACAAGATGTTCTGTGGTTACTGTTACTATATGTAATAATGTGTCCACTGGTTACTGTACTAATTAGTGACAAGATGTTCTGTGGTTACTGTTACTATATGTAATAATGTGTCCACTGGTTACTGTACTAATTAGTGACAAGATGTCCTGAGGTTACTGTTACTACATGTAATAATGTGTCCACTGGTTACTGTACTAAATAGTGACAAGATGTTCTGTGGTTACTGTTACTATATGTAATAATGTGTCCACTGGTTACTGTACTAATTAGTGACAAGATGTTCTGTGGTTACTGTTACTATATGTAATAATGTGTCCACTGGTTACTGTACTAATTAGTGACAGGATGTTCTGTGGTTACTGTTACTATATGTAATGATTTGACCACTGGTTACTGTACTAATTAGTGACAAGATGTCCTGTGGTTACTGTTACTATTAGTAATAATGTGTCCACTGGTTACTGTTCTAATTAGTAACAAGATGTCCTGTGGTTACTGTTACTATTAGTAATAATGTGTCCACTGGTTACTGTTCTAATTAGTGACAAGATGTCCTGTGGTTACTGTTACTATTAGTAATAATGTGTCCACTGGTTACTGTTCTAATTAGTGACAAGATGTCATGTGGTTACTGTTACTATTAGTAATAATGTGTCCACTGGTTACTGTTCTAATTAGTGACAAGATGTCCTGTGATTACTGTTACTATTAGTAATAATGTGTCCACTGGTTACTGTACTAATTAGTGACAAGATGTTCTGTGGTTACTGTTACTATATGTAATAATGTGTCCACTGGTTACTGTACTAATTAGTGACAAGATGTTCTGTGGTTACTGTTACTATATGTAATAATGTGTCCACTGGTTACTGTACTAATTAGTGACAAGATGTCCTGTGGTTACTGTTACTATATGTAATAATGTGTCCACTGGTTACTGTACTAATTAGTGACAAGATGTTCTGTGGTTACTGTTACTATATGTAATAATGTGTCCAATGGTTACTGTACTAATTAGTAACAAGATGTCCTGTAGTTACTGTTATTGTTAGTAACAAAGTATTCTATGGTTATTGTTTCCATTACTAACAAGGTCAAGATGTCCTGTGGTGACTGTTACTATTAGTTACAAGGTATCCAGTGGCCACTGTTTCTGTTAGTAACATGATGTCCATTGGTCACTAGTCCTATAAATAACATGTTATGAAGAGGTTACATTTACTTTGAGTGATATGGTATTGAGTGGTTACTGAAACTATTAGCATCAAGGTGTCATGAGGTTACTCTTCCTGTCAGTAGGAGATTATACAGTGGTTTAGTAACGTTTTATGTGGTGATTTCTAATATCATAAGTAACAAGATGTCATGTAGTTACTGTTACTTTTAGTTACAAAAGGTCCTGTGGTTACTGTACCAATTAGTATCATGTTGTGTTACTGTTTCTATGTCTCACTTGTTATCAACATTCCTGTGATTGTGTTTCAGTTATCAGAATGGAACAAAAATGATGAGAAACTGCTTAAGGCTGTGGAGCTGGGAGATATGTCCAAGGTCGACACTATTCTGCAGAAGAAGGCCATGGTTCCTACAAAACTGGGTCCCAAGGGACTTTCTGTGTAAGTATCCGAAAGTCCATTGTCTAAAATCTGCAGTCCCAAGGACATATCTGCATAAGGTTCGAGCAGGAAAATGTGCATGGTTCTCACAAACTTGAGTACATTGAATCCATTTTTGGATTTCATTATTTAAGTTGACATTTTTTTATCTAATATCTTTCCGTGTGAGTCTGGCCTCATCAGTCCTTACAGAACTGTTTTTGCAAAAGTTTTTCATTCAAAAGCATCTTTATATCAAACAAAACGGGTACAGTGTTTTTCAAAGTTTATCTTTCCATTTACATTTTCCAGTCTATTTGAAGTTGTATTCAGATTTCACAAGAGGTGTGTGTGACCCATTTTCACAAGGTTACAGTGACAAACACATTTCTGTGATTGATTGAGTTTTTAAACCTTTTAGACACTAAGATGCATTAACATCAAACTTCAATGTTGTTTGATGTACAAAAACACACAAATAAAACACTGATAACTAGATATTTATGAGTCCAGAAAAGTAAACGGAGACTCAGACCAAATTTTCACAAACATTTATTACTTAATGTTTCCATAATTAGTCTGTCCGTAGGTCCCAGTCCCAGTTTCCATATGAATGCTTTCCTACAAAAAATAGTTGTGAACCTAGTGGTTTCAAAGTGTTGTACCAGTTCGTGGATAGAACTGGGGGTAACTTTTGAGTAGGGTATAGCAGATAGATCAGGAAAAGAGATGGAGCATATCCCTACACACTGTACAGGTGGAGAAGTTAAACACACAGACAGGGGAGGATGCAATGCTGTTTTTTATGATGCACACACAAACACTTGCCACCTGATCATGTGTCAAGTCATGCTTTGTTACCAAGCTGCATACTACATCTGCATTACTCCCTCTGTCACCTGACCTCCCCCTCCCACCCCCAATTTCCCATCAAAGGGGCCTTCTTGGGGGTAGTTGGTGTTAAGGAGGAGTTAATGGACACCGCAGTTTGATCATTACTCTTATCATGATTCAATTTGTCATTGTCAGATTTGGGTTTACATCAGAAGATTAGTTTTAAATATTAACTTGTGAAGTCAATATAAAAGTGTGTGTATGACACTTAATGCATTTGTTTGGCTTTTAATCAGTTTTGTTACAATCTTTAATATATCTGATTATAGCTGTTTTAGATAATGTTTTGTAACGGTTTAGCCTTCACTCTCTTGTGATATATACCCTGCCCTTTAGTGTGTGTAGTTTAGAGGTGTTGTCTCTGTCTGTGTTTTTACTGTAAAGATCCCATTATCAAACCCAACAGGAAACTTAAAGGTTTTGATAAGTGATCGTGCAGATAACCTGTTTGTGTATTTTACTATCAAAATAACCCTTTTGTTATGGGAAATGACAAGTGTGAGTAATTGGAAGTTTGAGATAATCACAGTCTGTAATTAAAAACTTGTTTACATGGTGTTCTTATCACCTCTAAGCATGTCTAGTTTATATGTATAACAATTAAGAAGGGAAAATATCAAGATACACCTGATTAGATGTTAGTGGTCACTGGTAAAGTTCAAAGGTCAATGGTTGGACTTGATCCCTTTTCATTTAAAGAGCTGGATTTACAATACATGTACCTGTATAGTCATCAACCCCTAGTGGAACACACACCATAATCACCATCTACACAAGACATTTGCTAAGGATTGATAGGGGGGATGGGAGGGGATATCATATTGATGGGGGGGGATGGGAGGGGATATCATATTGATGGGGGAGATGGAAGGGGATATCATATTGATGGGGGAGATGGGAGGGGATATCATATTGATTTGAATGACCCTTGTAAAGGTTTAATTGTCGACTGTAAAGATTTAATTGACCTCTGTAAAGATTTAATTGACCACTGTAAAGGTTTAAATGACCTCTGTAAAGGTTTAATTGTCCACTGTAAAGGTTTAATTGACCACTGTAAAGGTTTAAATGACCACTGTATTTAATTGACCACTGTAAAGATTTGAATGACCTCTGTAAAGGTTTAATTGTCCACTGTAAAGATTTAATTGACCACTGTAAAGGTTTAAATGATCTCTGTAAAGGTTTAATTGTCCACTGTAAAGGTTTAATTGACCACTGTAAAGGTTTAAATGACCACTGTATTTAATTGACCACTGTAAAGGTTTAAATGACCTCTGTAAAGGTTTAAATGACCTCTGTAAAGGTTTAATTGTCCACTGTAAAGGTTTAAATGACCTCTGTAAAGGTTTAAATGACCTCTGTAAAGGTTTAATTGTCCACTGTATTTAATTGACCACTGTAAAGGTTTAATTGACCACTGTAAAGGTTTAAATGACCACTGTAAAGGTTTAAATGACCATTGTAAAGGTTTAATTGACCACTGTAAAGGTTTAATTGTCCACTGTAAAGGTTTAAATGACCTCTGTAAAGGTTTAATTGTCCACTGTAAAGGTTTAAATGACCTCTGTAAAGGTTTAATTGTCCACTGTAAAGGTTTAAATGACCTCTGTAAAGGTTCAATTGTCCACTGTAAAGGTTTAAATGGCCACTGTAAAGGTTTAAATGACCACTGTATTTAATTGACCTCTGTAAAGGTTTAAATGACCTCTGTAAAGGTTTAAATGACCACTGTAAAGGTTTAAATGACCACTGTATTTAATTGACCTCTGTAAAGGTTTAAATGACCACTGTAAAGGTTTAAATGACCTCTGTAAAGGTTTAATTGTCCACTGTAAAGGTTTAAATGACCTCTGTAAAGGTTTAATTGTCCACTGTAAAGGTTTAAATGACCTCTGTAAAGGTTCAATTGACCACTGTAAAGGTTTAAATGACCACTGTAAAGGTTTAAATGACCACTGTAAAGGTTTAAATGACCACTGTATTTAATTGACCACTGTAAAGATTTGAATGACCTCTGTATTTAATTGACCACTGTAAAGGTTTAAATGACCACTGTATTTAATTGACCACTGTAAAGATTTAATTGACCTCTGTAAAGATTTAATTGACCACTGTAAAGGTTTAAATGACCTCTGTAAAGGTTTAATTGTCCACTGTATTTAATTGACCACTGTAAAGATTTGAATGACCTCTGTAAAACTCTAAAGACCTTAACTGAGATTATAGATATGAAGAACTCTATGAAGATCAGAGTGACATCTGTAAAAAAACTAAATGACCTCTATATAAAGATCTGAATGACCTCATTATATATCTTAATCATCTTTGTCCAGGTATAAGTGATATCTTGTTATATAGGTTCCATATTGCCTGTGCTGCTGGAAGGACTCAGATTGTGGAACAGTTTCTTGCTTATGGAGCTGATGCCAACATAAAAACCATACAAGGTAGGAAGTGTTATGTCATATTGTGTCTTACTTATCTGTCACTATCAGTATGTGGTATATAAAGATTTAACTGTCAATGTAATCTATATACAAACTCTCCTGATTTGGATGATTATATCGGTCACCACTTTTTTATCATCTATAGAACAAAAACTTAATGAGTGAGTTAAATGTATCCTCCCATTATTATGTAGAGTATTGTCATTCTCACACCCATTTCATCATGTGTTATTGACACAAGACATTTTGAGGTCATATAGACTTTGTTTAAGTGTTTCATGTGTTTTGAAGAGTTTAGTGTAAATTACAAAAGATGTATATGTAACATGTTACACTTTTAAACAACAGAAATAGAGACATGTTAAGTATTTCTCACTTGTAAACAATAAACGATACCAGAAAGTGTAGTATTAAGAGTGCTCTTTCCTTCCTAAGAGTCAGGAGAAAGTGGTCAGTGACAAATGCTCCTTAAGGGGGCCCTATGATGTGTTAGGTCCAGGGTGAGGATTGTTGTGGGAAGTGAGGCAAGTGGGCCCTTAAGATTATCCTTGTGTCAAGTACAAGTTACAAAAGGGCTGTCATACTTGTGCTGAGTCACTATCTGTTAATGCATACTTGTGATGAAGTTTTCTGCAATTTGTAAATGCAGGTGTCTTTCCAAAGATATGAACACCCTGGCTTGATTGGACTGGTATACTTGAATAACGGCTCTGTAGGCTGTATTTATGCTTCAGTATAACCCCAGGGAGCTGAGACAATCTGGGATTCAATGTCATGGAGATAGATTTTAATTATTATAAGACAATAAAGTAGCAGGTGTTGGCATTTCTACAGAACTGAAATAGAAATTGAGAGGCTTCTATTGTATAAATACGGTAGATGTTGTCAGGGTAGGGGGATGCACATGTTGGTGCTAAGTATGTGCACACTCCTTTGATGGGGTTGTAAAGATAGGTAAGTAGGTGCAAGGTAGGGTGCATCCTGCCAGACTGGAAACTTCGTGGTAAACATTTTGATTGGTGTGACAGTTATTGATTTGGTTGGATTAGGATGTAAGTGAGTAAACAATACCGTGTCAGACATGCTGGCGAATGGGTATCACATGCCACATATTTCTCCACATATCAAAGTCCCCTAAATCATTGTGTAAGGTCCAAAGCACATATAACTATAGCTCTGTCTGTCTGAACAGACGGTCATTGGTGTTACTGTAACGCAAAAGTGTTGCTATGACTTCTAATAGTTTGATAAAATTTATGTATGAATAGATTTAGGTTTACAGGTTCTTTTCAAACTTATATGTTGACTTTAAATGAATACAAAATCGTTTTCATTCTAGAAACCTCCCCCTTACAGTTGGCTGCTGGAAATGGGAGAGCTGATATTGTCCAGCGCCTTATACAGGTATTACACTCTCAATACAGGTATTCCACACTCAATACAGGTATTCCACTCTCAATACAGGTATTCCACTCTCAATACAGGTATTACACTCTCAATACAGGTATTCCACTCTCAATACAGGTATTCCACTCTCAATACAGGTATTACACTCTCAATACACTCTGTATACAGGTATTACACTCTCAATACAGGTATTCCACTCTCAATACAGGTATTACACTCTCAATACAGGTATTACACTCTCAATGCAGGTATTACACTCTAAATACAAGTATTCCACTCTCAATACAGGTATTCCACTCTCAATACAGGTATTACACTCTCAATACAGGTATTCCACTCTCAATACAGGTATTACACTCTCAATACAGGTATTACACTCTGTATACAGGTATTACACTCTCAATACAGGTATTACACTCTCAATACAGGTATTACACTCTCAATACAGGTATTCCACTGTCAATACAGGTATTACACTCACAATACAGATATTACACTCTCAATACAGGTATTACACTCTCAATACAGGTATTACACTCTCAATACAGGTATTCCACTCTGTATACAGGTATTACACTCTCAATACAGGTATAACACTCTCAATACAGGTATTACACTCTCAATACAGGTATTCCACTCTCAATACAGGTATTACACTCTCAATACAGGTATTACACTCTCAATACAAGTATTCCACTCTGTATACAGGTATTACACTCACAATACAGGTATTTCACTCTCAATACAGGTATTACACTCTTTATACAGGTATTACACTCAGGTATTACACTCTCAATACAGGTATTATACTCCACATACAGGTTATATTACAACATTACTTGTATATCATGAAGTAACCCTCGAAAATTACCTAAAATATCAGTTCTATTTCATTTTATCATTTAAAACAAAGTACACTGTAGTTTCTGATCAGTGATATTTGAAATCTTACCACCACTAAATAATTCCTGTCACAGTTGGTGTTTATCAACCAATCAATTGCACAGAAATATTTCCTGTTCAAATTTCACCGATCTCTACTGATATACTATCTGGTGCTGATGGTGTCACGTGTTCCCTGTACAGGCCTGACTGGGTTACACTAGCACATGTTTGGAGTAATTTAAAACTAAATGACTTGGAGTTTAGACTTGTGCCCTAGCAGACATTAGGTTATACATGATAAATGGTCGGTACAGTTGACAGAACAACATAACTGTTATATGTGACACAACAGTGTCACGTAACACAACCTATCAGGATGTTAAATGTCAACTACTGTTAATCTGCATTGTATACCCAGATCTTGTCTTTTTAGTGCAAGTCCCTCCATTTTGGTGGAGATTTTATCCTGAAATAGTCTGCATATCAGAGTTATTTAAGTACATGTGAAATGTTAAACATATGGCCTATTGTTTTAATCTAAATTACTGCAATATAGATAGAAGTGATCATTGTTATACCTAGATACCCATTTGGAAAGTTTATGTGATATTAAGAGTGACTTCCATATTCCTTCATAAGCAGTCCATCCCTCAAAAATATCTCCCTCCCTTACAGAAGTTTTTTTTAATTTAGATCATGAAAGAACTTGCAATGTTTAAAAAAAATTCCATATATGTTGAGAACAAGGTTAAAAATATACAAAAACAAAATTAATCATGTGTGCACAAAAGAAAAACAGAAATGTAGATATATACTTTGTTAAGTTCAAAGTGAAACCCCACTCTTTACACCCTAGGAAAGTTTTCAATGTTTTCAATACCAACCAACACCTGACTTGTACAGAGCCTGTGGTGATTTAGATTTTCTTTGTTTTCTTTTAAGGCTAGAGTAGATATTGAGGATACAGACAAGAATGAGACGACAGCATTACACCATGCTTGTATGGGAATGCATGTAAACTCAGTACAGGTGCTTCTCCACCACAGGGCTGATGTCAGTGTGGGAGACAAGGTAGGTTAAAGTTCAAAGGGCTGATATTAGTGGGATACAAGGTAGGTTAAAGTTCAAAGGGCTGATATTAGTGGGAGACAAGGTAGGTTAAAGTTCAAAGGACTGATATTAGTGTGAGACAAGAAATGGTCAAAGTTCACAGGGTCAATGCTAGTGTGGGAGACAAGATAGGGTTGGAGTTCATAGAGTTGATATTAGTGTGGGAGACAAAGTAGGGTTAAAGTTCATAGAGCTAATATCAGTGTAGGAGACAAACTAGGATCAAAGTTCACAGGACTGATATCAGTGTGGGAGGCAAATTAGGGTCAAAGTTCACAGGACTGATATCAGTGTGGGAGACAAAATAGGATCAAAGTTCATAGGACTGATATCAGTGTGGGAGACAAAGTAGGGTCAAAGTTCACAGGACTGATATCAGTGTGTGAGGCAAAGTAGGGTCAAAGTTCACAGGACTGATATCAGTGTGGGAGACGAAATAGGATCAAAGTTCACAGGACTGATATTAGTTTGGGAGACAAAATAGGATCAAAATTCACAGGACAGATATTAGTGTGGGAGACAAAGTAGGGTCAAAGTTGACAAGACTGATATCAGTGTTGGAGACAAGGAAGGTCAAAGTTCATAGAGCTGGTGTCAGAATGGAAAACATGATAGGATGAAATTCCTAGGACGAAAGTCAGTTTCGGAGACAAAATAGGGTCAAAGTTCCCATGTCTGATGTCTCTGTGGGAATAATGGTAAGGTTAAATTTCAAAGGGTAGATGTTGACATAGGAGGCAGGATAGGTTCAAATGTCAAATATGTCATTTCAGGAGAATTATAGAGAAATTTACTACTACTGCGTTTATGTGGAAAGAAGTGTATTTTGATTACTTCAAAGCCCATACCTATTACAGGTCAACAGAAGAAAAAAATCTGGAAAATGCTATTTCAGTGTTTTATCATAAGCTCATCTCTAATAATATGTTGGATGATATATTGCATGTTAATTATGGCAGAATCTTTCTATACTTTATTGTAGACTGACAAAACACCCTTGTTTTATGCCTCTCACAATGGAGACCTACAGATTTGTAAGGAGCTGCTGGACCGAGGGGCAGAGGTCAATAGGTGTGACACATCAAACATGTGAGTGGTCATTCTCAGTACACCCTCAACATAGACAGTCCTCTACATTTACTGTGAACTCATTTATCTTTTGTTAGGGATTTATTTTTTATTGATTTCTTTGTTGCTCTCAATCATATGTCCACAAACTGTTAAAATTGGTAAAAGTAGATTTATTGAGCAACAAAACAGTACCTAAAAAAACTTTCACCCACTGCTACCTGGGGTATGCTGTTTCAGCAATATTCAATTCTATATTTATGAGATAGATAGAGGTCACAGGTCAAAGATCTTCATATCTGGCATTAACCCAATGCAATATACCGGTAGTTAACCAGTTTGTATGTATTGTTACTCAGCAGAATAACCAGCAAATGTTATATCATCTAGTAAAAGCCTATCACATTACTTAAGGTTAGGAATGAATGACCCCCAACGCCCCCCACCCCTACCGCCCTCCAACCCAACACACACCTACCGCCCCCCACCCCAACACACACCTACCTCCCCCCACCCCAACACAACTTTTTGCAGTTTTCACAAGATGACCTTAAATACACCCTGGTACCAGGACTTTTTATAAGATGAATTTGTTAAACATCACTGTGATACTCTGTCAACCATTTGTTTTGTAACTCTGAAGATAAATACCAGATAGAGCACTCTAACATCTGCCACTGAGCAGTTGGTGATGACAGACTGTTTGATATGAGAGTTATATCCCTTTCAGCACTCCCCTGATGGCAGCAGCTAAGCAAGGACACAAGGAGGTTTGCGAACTCCTTCTGAGGAAGGGAGCTGATCCAGAGGCTACTGACGTACAAGGTAAAGGAAAGGGGGATAAAGGGTCTATACAAGATCAGGTGATGAGGGACCATACAAAAGCAGGGGAAAAGAGGGATTACACAAAAGCAAAAATCAAACAAAATCAGAGTAGAAGGGAGTTGAGGGACCATACAAGATCAGGGAAAGAGGGACCGTACAAGATCAGGGAAAGAGTGACCATACAAAAATCAGAGTAGAAGGGAGTTGAGGGACCATACAAAATCAGGGAAAGAGGGAGTAGAGGGACCATACAAAATCAGAGTAGAAGGGAGTTTAGGAACCGTACAAGATCAGGTAAAGAAGGACCATACAAAATCAGAGTAGAAGGGAGTAGAGGGACCATACAAAATCAGAGTAGAAGGGAGTTGAAGGACCATACAAAATCAGGGAAAGAGGGAGTAGAGGGACCATACAAAATCAGAGTAGAAGGGAGTTTAGGAACCGTACAAGATCAGGTAAAGAAGGACCATACGAAATCAGAGTAGAAGGGAGTAGAGGGACCATACAAAATCAGAGTAGAAGGGAGTTGAGGGACCATACAAGATCAGGAAAAGAGGGACCATACAAAATCAGGGAAAGAAGGACAATGCAAAATTAGGGAAAAAGGGAGTAGAGGGACCATACAAGATCATGATAAATGGGACAGAGTGAGCATACAAGATTATGGTAAATGGGACAGAGTGAGCATACGAGGTCATTTGGTGCAGAGACAGTTTCACTTTCTGAGAGTTCAAGACATTTTTGAACAGTGTAAATTTATCCCCATCTTTGATTTGTAATGGTGACATTTTGGCACATGTAGGGAATTTCCTGGTATCTATTTTTAGTAACACTTGATCTATAAGTTCAATGGGGTTGACTGGTTTTGAGGTGAGTACTAATCAAGAGTTTTTCTGTTAATAAATAATATAACAGCTAAGTATTTTTGTTCTGTTGTCTTCGTTCAGTTGCGTCTCCTAGTAGTTACAGCCTACACAGACAACTACGTATGTCTTTAGTAGCTCACTTTTAAGTGAAGATGGGATGATTCCCTTCCTGTGCACATGACACAAAGGAAAGAAGGCATGCTCATTACAATGTCACAAGAGGTCAGAGGGATATAGAAGCACCTTTTTTGTGACATCTCAAGAAGTCATGAGTATGGGAGAAGTTAACTGTTTGATATATTTGCTCTTTCTATTTTGTCATTTATAGGTAGGAAAGCCCTTCAGTATGCTACAGAGGCAGGGCATGATGATATTAGTGAAGTATTCAGTAAAGCGCCAACACGGGCCTCCTGGGACCTCACCTCATCCAGGGCTGCCAATGGTATGTAGGGTCATTGTAAAATGTACCTAGAGTAGGTAGCACGTATACCATTAACATATTTAATTTAGCACAATCAAATTCTAATTCAAATTTTTTTTTTTTTTTTGGCAAATGAGCTCAATGACAAATTTGCACATCCACAATAATTAATGTATAAGCATCAATAAATAGCGTGTAGAGATGTGATCAGAGCTGAAAGAAGATTACAGCTAAAATATGTACAATTAGTGTGCAGTGAGAAAATGTACAACATGACATCGAATATTAACAAATTACAAACAGTATAAACAAGAGTGAAAGGAGTGCAAATAAGAAAAATGAAAAGAAACAGATGAAAGAAGAGAAAGAGGCCACCTGTGTTAAGTGTCAAGTTGTATATTAGTTCAGAACCCCAAACCTAAGCATTCCTTAGTCTTATGCTTGGGCATTAGAATAAAATTCAAGAAGAAATTTGTGAAATGTAACCTAAAGATTTATTTATATCACAATTGCTCTTGTATAATTCCATTCTACATACATGTAATTTATTTTATGTAACAAAAAGGTTCTGTTTTCTGTGAGTTCTGATTTTAAAGTGTAATTTGAATTTCTCTGAACCTTAGAAAAATGAATTACTGTATACATCATCCATGATATGTCACCACTTTAAAAGACTTGATAATGAAATAAAACAAAAAGTTAAAAAAAACTTAGTATTAAAAATACTAATTCAGAATATAAACTGGTCGTTTTTATGTTGACAGGTCCATCAGGTAGCACCAATGAAGAGGTCACAGAAACACCTACATCAGAGATGCCAGAAGCTGATCAGGTACACTCTTCTGTTTGATATAGTCAAGGGAGATAACTCTTTAAACTGGAGCAAATTTTTTTACCAAAAAGTGATATGACTAAAACATAAAATTGGAAATCTACATTTTTAGTGCATGTAATGCATAAAAAGTGCAAACTTAAAGATGTTTGATTAATCTTTTTTATTTTGAATGCCTTTGAGGCTTTGTTTGATGCAAGCACTGAATCAAACAAGGGCCACTGAGATGTAAAATTTCAGACATGAATTGGGACAGACCTGCAGATAATAACACAGACTTTGAAAGTCTATCGTCAGGGCCCATCAGAGAGTAAAATAAGAAGTTGATCCATCCTTATTTCATAATGATTATTTCTATTCCAACTGGTCATATTGATAAACAGAAGTGGCATCAGTAAATCCCGCACTAGTCTGGAGAAATATTGTTAGACAACAGAAAAATTACCAAGAAATATAAATATAGGTCGAGTGAAGACAACACGAACATACATTAAGTTGTTGACATATTTCGGATCAAAGTGACTTGGATCCGAAACATGTCAACAACTTGATGCAGGAATAAATTGTGAATTGGGAAGGAGCTGTTCGTGTTGTCTTCACTCTCGACCGACATTCTACCCATTTTTAGTGAGGACTCAGTATAATTTTTGTATCCAGGGCAATTCACTAAAAAATTTACCGATTATCATCAATTGTTGGACGTTGTCCCCCATCCCTCCGATGTTGATTTGTAAGAATATAAAATACATAAACAGTATCATCCATTTGGTCTGTCTAGTAAGAACAACATAAATATTACCTTCTATCATGATAGCCTCCCTTTGATTGGTAATTTTAATGACATAATTGAAACATTTCTTACATTGTTTACCAGGTGGATGCTGTGGCTCAATTCATCCCTGCCAACACGCCAGAGTTTGATCGTAAACTTTCTAATGACGTATCTACAAGTCACCAACCAGTACCACAGGTAAAGTACAAATCTTAACTGTACTTGTCTGACTTTTGCACCATACTTGAAAAAAAGTCAAAACACATCTTACAGGAGACCTTGCAATAAATTCACTTTCCTAGTTTGAGTTGCAGGCCCTGGGCTTAATGCTGGATATATATGGTAAATGTTCACCTTAAAAATCAAATGTTTGGAAGGAATGTATTTTAACCAGTTTGTCACTAAGTGCTGTAAGGAATTGTTTTGTTTATGGTGTCTGTTTCTATCCACAGCCAAGAAATACAAAACCAGCAGAGAGTCCTCCGCAGGTAAATGCTGCAGACCAGCGGGCACTGGAGGCCTATAAGGTACGTGTAGACTACAGGGAAGTTGATTAATGGACAGGTGTAGGTAGAATGTAATCAGTCATTAAAAGTGATATAGGTAGACTATAACACACAGTTATGATAGGTAGTGTAGTGCTTGGTGTGGGTAGTTAACAGAGATTTACATATCTAGGAAATATGGAGTCTAATATAATCCTATAGCTATTAGCTTCATGTTTTTTTATGGTGGGATCAGGACACATGTATTTGGTTGCATTTATCTATAAGCCCAGGGGCTCAATAAAATACCATATTACAGGCATGTAAGATTTGAAGGCACTTCTTAGAAAATAAAAAAAAGATTAAGCTTTATAAAGATGAGTGAGCTTATTACCCAACTTTAAGTTATTGCTCAAAAATAATAATGTATACAACGCTAGAGAATTGGGTTTTTTTTAAACAATTCAGCAATTGTCTAAATACTGAAAAGTTCAATTTCATGGGATAAGTTTGTACAACAAGGAATTATATAACTGTATTACATCAAATAAAGTGAAATAAAGGAATTTATCAACTTGATAAACACTTACATCATTCAAGAAATATTAAATCATCATTTAAATTGATATAACATGATGATAAAAATATTGTAGTTTTGGCCAACCAGATCGATACTTTCCAGTCACTGCATTGAAATCCACAGATTTTCATGTTCTGTAGCAAATGAAGCAAAGGCTGGGGTTGGTTTAAGTTTGGATCAGCCTTTTTCATTTTTTATCCTTTAAAAACTGTAATAAATAATGGTTATTTATTTAGTACATATATTTCACTTATGCAATAGAATATATCTACATTTTTCACTTGTGCAGGAGAGCAAAAAAAATGGGAATTATAATTTATTTTCACCATTACAACCATTAAATATCCTCTCTTTACTACACAGTGAATGTGTGTTCAAAAACATGGAAGTTTGAAAATGTGTTAATTTCTCTTTGATTTCATTTGAGTTTATTAAATCAGAATCAGGAGTATTTGTGTGAGGAAATTTCTTTTTACACCTTTGATTATCCAAAAGTTCTGTCCACTATTCAAAGATTGGTATACCTTGTCCAGAAAGAAAAAATCTTCATTGCTATGGATGGATATAGATTAGATTCTGACAATCTCAGTGATTTCTTTTGGATAAAAACTTAACTGACTTACATATTATTGAATACCATTTCTACTAAATAGCATTTTCCCGACTGTTGTGTGGTATAAATAGAGAGTAATACACATACATGTACTGTATCTATTTCTGGGAGAGGTTGTCTCTAGGAAACTAAGGTTATTGTTTATTGAAAATAACTTGATGTTGTTTTGTCCTTTGATCCATTCACCAGAGATTTTTTTCCCTTTTTCTTTCTTTTTTTCCCCCTTTGTTTGTTTTCATTTTTTGTTAAACCATTTTTGGTAAACCACTACATACATGCATGCTACTCTAGGTACCTTACTTTTTCTCTTCAAAGGGAGATAACTCGGGAGAGGTAAGGTTATATTAACCAGTATGTGTTGCTGCACGGTTGAGGCCCCAATTCCCTCCCTGTTGTCAGGATCACAGTGTGGTGGTCGTATTGTGCACAACTGTAACTGACCAGTCACAAATGTGGTCACCGGGCATTAACATCCATTCTGCTGTAGTCAGTGGTCACTTAAGTGCAGATCTTGTCACTGGTCTGACAAATCTTCTCACAGCGATATTCATGCCATTGAACGTATTTCTTTCTTTTCTCTGAAGATAACCTTTTTTTCTGACAGCCACCATGTGTCTCTGAAAGTCATTCTGTTCTTTAACTGTCATCATTTTCTCTGATGGTCAGCATGTCTTTTTGAAAGACCATTCTGTTCTTTAAAAGTCATCATTTTCTTTGATGGTCACCATTTTCTTTGAAAGTTGCTATTTCCTCAGAGATTCAGGTAGATTTCTCTGAAATTCACTGTTTATCTCTGACAGTCACTATTTAACTACTTTATCATAATGATAGTATTCTGTCAAGGTCATCATTACAGTCTTCATCAATATTGTCATTCAAATGATTATCATCAGGAACATTTGACAAATGATATGTTTTTAAAATCACTATATTTAGCACTACATGACAAAATCCATGATTTTACATTTACAATTGGTAGCTTCTGCTCACTCATCATCTACCATATTGGTTAACATTGTCAACATATTGGTTATCATTGTCAACATATTGGTTATCATTGTCAACATATTGGTTATCATTGTCAACATATTTGGTTATCATTGTCAACATATTGGTTATCATTGTCAACATATTTGGTTATCATTGTCAACATATTGGTTATCATTGTCAACATATTTGGTTATCATTGTCAACATATTAGTTATCATGGTCAACATGTTTGGTTATCATTGTCAACATATTAGTTATCATTATCAATATATTGGTTACCATTGTCAACATATTTGGTTATCATTGTCAACATGTTTGGTTATCATTGTCAACATATTAGTTATCATTATCAATATATTGGTTATCATTGTCAACATATTTGATTATCATTGTCAACATGTTTGGTTATCATTGTCAACATATTAGTTATCATTGTCAATATATTGTTTATCATTGTTTACATATTTGGTTATCATTGTCAACATATTAGTTATCATTGTCAACATATTACTTATTATTGTCAACATACTAGTTATCATTGTCAACATATTTGACATCCATCAAATTTGTATGTCTCTCATTACCTATATCGTATCATCATCCATCAAATTTATACATAAGTACTTATCTTACGTACTCTTTAGTAACATGTCATCATACACTGTCTCCTGCTTACAACCAACAGTTCTATGTTCTTTGTTTGCACAAGTAACTCCTCAATAGGTTGATAAGCATTTATTTGAATTCCTTCTGAATCTTTGCTCCAACAATTTGTTTTTTATTTTAGCCCTACAATGCTCACAAAAATGTGTATCTTGTCTTTGAGTCGATAAAAATATAATAGGTGACGCAAAAGTATTCATTGTCTGATACAGGGATGTGTGCTCAGAAGAAAATACCATATCCTGCCATATCGCTTTTTTGCTAACTTTGCTTGATGAAATGCTAGATATTTTATCACTGATATTCAGATACCCATATACATGTATATAAAGTGTGTATAGAATGGATCATAATCAATATTTATCTGTATTCAGTTTTAATCGGGTATATCATTTTGTGAATAGACAGATGATGTATGATCTATTGTCGACTTATTCTTTGTGTGGCATCTATCTAAAAAATAACCAGAGTGATTCAGAATTTTGTGTGTCTCCCTTATGTTTAGAATTTATAAGTCCCCCATTACAGTTCTACATGAATTCTTTAACTGTGCATACTTTCCCTTATATATCCTGACAGTTTAAGAGACTTTCTGATATATTCTGGGTGATATCATGAATTATTTTTTACACAAAATATGTATTATAGCCGATGAAGAAACCTTCTCAATACAGATGTGTCACTCCTAATCGGTTTGACAGGTTTTTCTGAACTGTATAATTTTTGTTGAAGATTCTATTGGTAGAAAAGAAATTCTGTTTATTTCCTCATTACACTTGTGTTTTGCATGCTGTTTGATGTTTTACACAAAATAACTTTTGTAAAATACTTTTTGTTGAGCTGTTTAAACTGTTTAGTTCTCTTGTTCTTGTTTTATAATTCAGTTGGTTTAAAAATGTGTAATGCACGCAAATCATTAGCTCACTTACTTTTATTATGATATTCATTTTTAGTAAAAAAGGAGAAATCTGTTGATAATGTCCATGGTCAGTCTCCCGGTGGATATACAGGTTTTATTAAGGGATATATTGTATCTGTTTCCAGGAACTGGAGGAAGAGCATGAACAACTCAATGAAGAGTTCCACAGAGTTACCTCCCATAACAGGAGGTTACAGGGCGATATATTGTCCCTACAGAAGCAGCTGCAGGACCTCCAACAAGCCGTAAGTAGAGTTAGTTTTATTGGAGCAACAGCTAGTACTAGACTATTTGTATTAATCTTATACCAGGAAATATGTTTTTCTTACAAAATGTGGGTCAGAGGAATGGTCTTAACATTTTAAATCAAGAATTAAAGAAATATTTATCAAAAAATAAAGGCTTTATTAAAGTATTTTATCATTAATGAATAAACAAAAATAATATCAAAACATTTTCCTTATTTTCAGACTTCTGAAGATAAAACAAAAGACTTGGAAAAAATGGTAAGTTTACAATATATTGAAAAAATGGTAAGTTTTGAAAACTTGTACTATATATAAAGCATTTTTGTAGTGATATCTGCAGGGTATTTTGGTTTATATCTGATCTTTACAAATTAAGCAACCCTTACAAAATCACAAATACTGAAATTGCAAAATTTGAATGTTTTCTTCTTTTCTTATGTAAATTGTAAACCAATGAGTATGCTGATTTTAACTATTGGTGCAGATGGAGGGTCTTGAAGTGAAACTAGCTGAGGAAAAAGAGAGAAATCAAGAACTTGAAGAGAAATTGTCCAGCAAAACTGCTAAAACAGAGGTACTAGATAACTTGTTGATCGTAACTGAGAGATTAACACCATTCATGGCATTTTTACATCCAATATTTCAATCGGAATAATGATGGATGTAGACAAATATATAGACTTTAATATTGTGTGTCTGAAAAATAGTTCCTGGAGCAAAGGATGTCTGTGGCAGTGATTACTTTCATCCAGATTGCAAATCTTGAGCTAACAATTAGAATCAAGATTCATCCTACATGTCTTAAAACAATGTTTAACTCACTTGTCATTATATTCCCTAGTTTTGGACCTCCAGCATAACTTCATATTGTATAATGCTACCGTCAGAATGTTATTTAAATGTCATTTTCAGAAAAAAGGGACCAAGAATTTACAAACTATTCTCTCTATATTCTGTGAACAAGGATATAGTCTTTTAGTATAATTGATCTAAGTTACAATGCTTGAATGTTTGATATGATTCCAGAGTACACAGGAAGAGGATGGACAGTCTACAGGTGATGTCTGGAATGATAGTGAAGATGATTTGTTTGATTCTCCTGGTAAGAATTAAAACCTTTATTACCTCCCCTAGCTCTCTGATTCAGACACTTGTAGATAATTAGAAATTGATATTGAATAAACGCACTGATTTTAGAACGTTTGTGTAATTATGAGGATAACTTGGTTTAACCAGGTCACAAGACAAATGGAGGAATGGAGCCAGACGATAAGCAGATGGTAGCTTTGTTGCGGAGTCAAATCCTTTCACTTCGCCAGGAGAATGATCAGCTCAAAGAACGTGCTCAGGTAAATTCTGATAATGAGTCAAGGAACAATCAGATCGAAAAAAGCAGATAAAGGTGAGTCAAGGAATGACCAGAGCAAAGAATGTACACACAGGTGAGTCAAGGAACTACTAGATCTAAGAATGCAGGTACAGGTGAGTCAAGGTCAGGTGTCGGTCATGGAAAGAAATGGGTCAAGGAATTCATGCAAAAGTGAGTCAAAGGACATACAGGTTAAATAAAGTCAACAACTCAATAAATATATACAGTTCAGTAAGATCTGTCATGAAAGGGTAAACTACTCATGGTTACTATGATTCAAAAACAAGTGGGAAATGATCAAGTATCTCAAATTGTTTCATTTTTTATTGATAATACATGTAGTACAAAAGAGAAAACTTAGAATATAATTTCACCATTGATATGTTAAAATCTTTTCATGACAGAAAAATGACTTATCCTCAAGGTGTGTAACTTAAGAAACAAAATACTGAAGTAACATTTAGTGTATTAAAACAAGAGGTAATCCTCAATGGAATTGTAAAATGCAGAAGCTGGTGTTGATTTTTCTGGTAAATTAGATAGACGTGTAGGCTCATGTGTAAAAAAAGTAATTAACTTGTTAAATTTTCAAATATCTGCAGAAAACAACAGTTCCAGTGACATGTAATTTTCATACAATGGTAGATCTTTTACTTTTGTCTGTTTGAAATATATTGATTTCCATTGCAATGTTTGCTTGCTGGAAGTTTAACTCCTTTAATGAGGTCAGGCAATTGTATTTTTGAAACCCTTTATGAAGTCTCAGTAATCATTGTTATGTTGAAATTTATATATATATTTCAGTGACATCCTGTTTTAGGTAATTTTATTATGTTTTTGAATTTCTACACCTCAGTCACTTGTCATGTGATCACTCCCAGCATGCATTAGTTTTGTCTGGTCCATCTTTTCTGGATCAAGGAATGCTTTTTTATCTGATTTTTGTATTTGTATAAGGCCTCACTCGTGTATGAAAGAAAAAATGTGACATTAGTGACAGAATAATTCTATATATTTTCTTGAAGTATAATTTAAATTTTAATTTAATTTTTCTTTGGAAGTTAAACCATTATTCAAATATGTATTCCACATTTTCAAATATCTTTTAATATCTCTTAAAGCCTACATACAAAAAATTTATGTATATCTTTGAGGAAGGTTTTGATGTAAGACACTATAGATATTCTTGCTCTAAGGGGAAGATATGAAAATGTCTTCGTTGTGATACATCAATGTGTAAAACTTAACATCAGATTCACATTATTTAGAGTAGATACTTTTGAGAAGAATGTTTTAAGAACCACACTATAGATAGCCTCACTTGGGTCTTTTCTCAGTGGTGTTATACTGTCTGAAATGTGGTAAACATGTGTGGCTTTATTTAGTGTTGTGTAGTTACACAGTGGTATATTTATACAGATTTTCTAGCTGGTTGAAAACTATTTTAGATTTACATGTTGGAAAGAAGCTTCTCTATTAGCAGTAGAATTCTTTAATTTATCAGTTTTAAGCCAGTATTTAAAAAAAAAAAAAAAAAAAATTGTATGAAATTGGGGACAGGTGCTGTAATTAAATGTAATTATATATGACTGGGTAGTCTACTGTAGTAATCCTTTTCTGCTTTAGTTGTGAATGTTCTGCAAATTATTTTTTGCAAGTAACACAATGTAAGAAATAGAAGATTCCTCATACAGACTAAGACAGTGATTTGTTGAAAATTGTCTGTTATCACTTTGATCTGTTTCAGTCTGTCCCTCCGGAGGCAGTAGGGAATTCCTCCTTCCTTGCCCCTGGGGCACAGGACCTGCCCCCTTGGGTACGTGCTCAGCTGGAGGAGAAGGAAGAGGAGCTGGAGGAACTCCATAATAAACTGATTACCCTGGAAGAGGAAAACAAAATTCTCATAGATCAGGTACTCATGGCTGTGATCCTGTTTGAGGTATCTGATTAAGATTGATATTGGTTGACAAACATTGTAGTGATGCATCGTTATTTATATGTGTCAAGGTTCAGTGATGGTAATTTTTCTTGTCACTATTGTACTCCGAGACACATTTACTCCGGGGTTCTTTCACCTCACAAAAACCTGGTTATTTTTTACCAGTGTGAAAACTTCACTAAAATAGTGTAAACATACAAATTTTACAAATTTTAGTGGTATTAGTGCTGAAAGTATTGTGCTAAAATATGATAGCGCTAATTTCATTTTCTGTATGTTGATAATACATATTTAGCAATTTTTTTCATTGCACTAATTTCTCCAAAAAGCAAAATTTGATTGTGCCAAATTTAGTAAATTACAATAGATAAAGACATATATTTTACCTCCAACATAAAACTTTAGACAATCTTTCATTTTTGCCTAAATGGCTATACCGGTGAAAGCTTTTCTGTAAATACTAGCTGGGTGGTATATGAGCAGCATTCTATTGCATGTGATTTACTTTGATGGAATTCATAATCTGAACAAATTGATGACAATTAACGACTGTAAATTAAGATCAGGAGAGTAAATAACATTGTACAGATTTAGTCTGTATCCTGAAGGTTAATTTCCACTAACTTTTTTGTGATGAGGCAAGTGCAAAAAATGAGCAGCCATAAAAGACTGTGTTGGCTTACTGAATTACTATGAAGATAATTATAACCTCCCCCACACAAGTAAGGGTCAAGTGTGTTTGTATATAGGTAATCCTTTGTTGGTATGTGTCAATGATAATCTTGTGTACGAGATATTTCAGGAACCCATGGACAGGTTTAGTTCATATTTACACCTTAACATTACCCCCATTGGTCATTTGACAAGGTTAAAGGTCAAAAGTCATTCAAGTTCCCCTTGATTAAGAGATTACCCCTCAACAGATTTAGATCAGAAGAAAAAGAGGAAGAATGCGAGTGTGGTATATCAATATGAGCCCCGGATAATTTCGTTTTTGTTTTGTGGTGTTTATGTGTGTGAAATCATGAAAAGAAAACTAAATATACCATTTCGTTTACTTTACAGATAAAGAGGAACAGGCACAACGAGGAGAATTTTGTCGAGAGAGAGATACAAACATCTCCGAAGAATGTAGGAGATAATCAGCTGTCATCTGATAACCGATCCACACCAGACAAACTGTCAGAGACAAGTGTTAAAACTGAAGAGGAGAAAAATGAGGTGGTTGAGAGACTGCAACACGAGTTAGAAACACTAAGAGAAACATACGAAAAGTTGGTTCAGGCTGGAGACAATTTACAGGATATGTACGATCAAGTGTTACTAGAGAAAGATCAACAGGCTGAGGAATTTGAAAAATTGTTACAAGAAAAAGAGGAAATAGTGAAAGAAAATGAATTTCTTTTGTCTGATGGCAATGCCATGCATGAGGACCTGGAAAAACTAGTGCAAGAATTAGAAAAAAATCAGGAAAATTTGGAAAAGGTGCAATCTGAGAAGGAGGATTTAGAGCGAAAGTTTGCAGCTGTGAACATGTCTGGTAAAGCTAGTGAAATGGCAAAGCTGATGGAGGAGCGTGATCGTTATAAGACACGATATGAAGAGGAGGCAGTGGAGCGTGGACGGCTCCAGGAGAACCATGATGTGGTGCTGGAGGAGGTACAAAACCTGCAGGAGAAGTGTCAGGCCATGTCACTGGAACAAGAACAGATACAGCAAGAGTATGAGGGGCTACAGGATGAATATGAACAGTTATCTCAGCAATCTGAAGCCCTCCAACAGGACTACACACAGCTTGAACAGGACTACTCTGAACTACTCACTGATAAAGAGAAGATGGAACAAGAGTTCCTGGAAGTACAAACAGCCAGTGTCCAGGTGGAGAATCGTAACCCTAGTCTCTTGGAGGAGAAAGAGCATCTACAGGAGGAGTATGACATGCTTGACTATGAGAAGGAACAGCTCGAACTCACTATCTCAGAAATGTCAAAGAACAACGCTCTATTAGAGGAACAATTAGATAAAAATAGAATTGAATTGTCCCGAACGTATGAAAAATTGAAAAAGGAATCTGCCATTAGAGCACAGCAGGAGTCTGAATCAAACACAGACAAGGAAAAACTGATAAAATCTCTACAGACACAGACACAACGACTACAGCAACAACTGGCGGTAAGTTATAGTTATCATGGCAAGAGCAACAACTGGCAGTTAGTTACCATAGCTACATCAACAACTCACTGTAAGTTAACATAGCTACATCAACAACTCACTGTAAGTAACAGTTGCCATTGCAAGAGCAACAACTGGCAGTTAGTTACCATAGCTACATCAACAACTCACTGTAAGTTAACATAGCTACATCAACAACTCACTGTAAGTAACAGTTGCCATGGCAATAGCAACAATTGGCAGTTAGTTACCATAGCTACATCAACAACTCACTGTAAGTAACAGTTACCATGGCTATAGCAACAACTGGCAGTTAGTTACCATAGCTACAGTAACAACTTCCTGTAAGATAATGCTACCATAGCTACAGTAACAACTCACTGATAACTTGAAACATGTCCACAATACTAGATTTATTATTTTATTTGATTGTATACCTGAACTTAAATGACTGGATGATTTCTTTTAATTTTACATTTATCTTTTATGTTTATAGGAAACAGACCGACACCATCGAGATGTTATTAACACCTATAGAACACACCTTATATCAGCAATGCAGGTAAGTCAGATGACAAGAAACAGTATCAAACTCATTCTGTAGATTTCAGGGGGCTGTGATTAAATCTGGTCACTGATGGACTGATAAGGCTATGTAAATTTTTAGGGATTAAGCAATGATTTCATTATCAAAATATTTAGGTCGCTTGAGAAGTCTCATGGTGACCTGTTGCAATCACCTTCATGCGCTGTGCGTCCATAAACAATTAACATCTTAAACTTCTTCTCAGAAACTCCAGAACCTATTTCAATGAAATTTTACAGAAACCTTCCCTAGTCTAAGATGAAACAAAATAGTGAATTATGTGGTCTCCAACCCATTGGTGCCTGAGGGACAGGGCCAAAAGTCAAATTTACTCAAATTTACTCAAATTTCAAAAAACTTCTTCTCAACACCCAAATATGGTAGTATCAAATGCTCTTCATGGATGGAAGCATTTTAAGGTTGTTTACAAAAAATGTGAATTTCATGGACCCAGGGTCTCACATTTCTATGTGGAGAGGGGGTAAAGTTTACTATATTTTATATAGGAAAAATAGATTTTAGAGTATGATGTTGTTTATTTCCCACCGGAAATAACTTTGTAAGATTTATCAGTATAGGATGACAGTTTTGATGGTATGCATGTATTGACACTGGCTTACTATCATCAATGTCATAATTTCTTTTTCATGTCACTTGAAAGCTACTTTCCCTTTAACCTGTACATTTAACATTGCTTATGTAGGGTGACAATGGAGGCAACAAGGCCTCTTATTAATTTAAACTGAAAAGTGAATTTTATGCAGAAGTTGAGACATTGAGACATTTTGGTCTATTAAGATGATTGTTTCTCATTCACAGGGACATATGGATTCTGATGTTCAGCAAATACTTTACAACATAATAGAACTACGCAGTGTGGAAGAGTATTGCTGACCCTGATTACATGATGGTGATCATCACAGGAGGTGTACAGATGGTACTCTTAAACTTTCTGATATCAGTACCATGTTGGAGTTTTGGACATCTCTGACCTGTAATAATACAGTAACATGGCTGGACTATTCGTGATGTGACAGATCTAGTACTGTACTGTACAAAGTACTCTATATAATCCTGTTCTTTTAGAGCACTTAAAACGCGGACTTGTAGCTGTTATTGCTATATGAGGAGCAGTAGTACATGGTTTATGTATCAGAAAATGGCAGCATTAGGAGTATCAAATGTCCTGTTGGGCAAACATTTCACATCTGGTAACATTCCAATCAGATTCATTGATACTGATCCAGCTTCAGCATTTTGTTATTAGATGATACATTAAATAATGTGATTGCATGATATTTAATGTGGTGAGTGGTTCAGTCAGACTTTTATGGTGAAGAGAAACTAATTTAAGTGTATTCCAAGTTCTCTTTCACATCAGAGAAATTAATTTTCTTTGTAGTGTGCGCCATCTCTTTCTCTTGACTTAGAGTTATGTGCCCCTATGGGTATAAGAATGATGTGAGATTTGACATTCCTGGGATAGTGTAATAGCCATTATGTGTCCTTAACATATTAAAGAGGTGGCATTTCTTTATATCAGTAGGTCCAAGGAGTATCTATATATCATTAACATTATAAATATCCATTCCAGAAAAAATAATTTGATGTATAAATTGTCCATGTAAGAAATTGTGTAGATGAAACGAGTGTTATTTTTATATAAACGTTTATTGATTTTTATTATCAGTTTGTGACAAATGTTTATCATTACTTTGGTATTGCCATAAAAACAAATTTTACATTTAATATTTTTTATAAAATTTATTAATCTTTAGTTGGGGGTGTTGGATAGCAGTAATATTGTGTTACATTGGTTTTATTACTGTTTTTCATTTTTACAGTTAATCACATTTGTTAGGGAAGCATGCTATTTTATGAACCTTGTAAAGTTTTCAGTGTGAGATACCTGCTAAAGCATTGTGTATAATAGTTCTGTAATTTTCTGATTCTGACCTGCACATTCAAAATCACATGAAGTTTAAGACATAATTTTGACCAGTTTTAACAACTATGGAAGCCTAGCAGCTTTCCAACCCTTCGTGTATGCGTAGTTTGTTCCTGAATTTTAAATTTGTTTAAATTTGATTGGGTGTAATAACTACCAGGTAATTAAAATTTAAGATTAGAAGGGAACACATTTCCATTCAAATATTTTTCACCTTTTTTCTGTCCAGACAAAGCTATATTGGGAACAGTTATTACCCAGGTTTAAGTCAGCCATGCTGTGCATTCATTTGCCCAGTCTATTTAATGGACATACAAATTGTACCATTTTTTTTATTATAGTGTGTAAGAAAGTAATTTGGCAACAACAAATAGGATATGAGTTTGCTTTCATTTACTAAAGCCCCTTTTTTAAGGTTATAGTATCCAGGAGGCCTGTAGACCTAAGTGTAAACATAATTGTTATTGATCTAATTTGAATATTTACATTGTGTACTATGCTAGTGCTTCCGGAGGAAAAGTTTTCAGCGTAATTAACAGGCAGTCCCACTAATAAAACATTGTCTGCCTACCACAGCATACCATATTTATCCTGTAATAAGCCCAGCAGGCCAACAGATTAGCTTTGACTCTAAGTAGGAAGTGATATCCTTATTGTTTGATAGGAATGGTATTGTACAAACATATGTCTTTACAATGTATATGCTGAATTGGCTTAATTCATGTTTCTAGTCCGACCATGTTGCTGTTTTTGTATAAATCATGAAAATGGAACAGATTGCCTTTAAGCTTCAAACTGTGTTTGATCTCTAACAAAACAAAAAACAAAAAAAAAGATAGAAAAATAAACAAAACCCAGAAACTTTTCCGCCTAGATTTAACCTGCTGACCAATATTATGTTTTATGAAAGTTGATACATGTATTTTACATTTTTTTATAATTCCTTTTTGATGTCTTCCATATTTTGTAAATCAAAGGAATATCCTTCTAGAACAAAGATAAATGTTTTGTATAGAAATGTTTTTTAAATGTCCAGCCAAAGTTAGGCCAAGGAAGATTTTAAAATGAGATATTTTGAAGTTTTTCAAAACATTGCTTTTATCTGCCTGTCTCAGTTTTATGATAACAAGAGCCCCACCTGTTAGAAGAAAGAGCTGTGACCTGTTTTAACAAGTCCGATGGTCTCAACTGTAGATTGATATTTCTGGTTGTTAAAGTCACTTCATTTTTACCTCGGCCACATACCTGTACCTTACTTGCATTTGTGTTTGTTTTTTTCCTGATCTACATCATATTGTTATTCAAAGACATTTGCTGTATTGCTGTGATTTAGACTAAAGGGTGAATAGTACCTTATACCATACTTTGAAAAGCATTACCTCTCCAGATGTTCCTTGTAAAACACTCATATCCGACATATTTTGATATGGAATCATATGAAAGATTCTTGAATTGATATTCTTATTAAAACAATAGATATAAAAGTAAAAATTTCAAAAAATTTCACGACAAGGTTTTGGGTGATTGAAATATTCTCTGGTGTTATGTTATGGATCTTTGGTGATTTTTAAAAATTTTTATGTGATTTATAGAGCAAAACAGTTTGATCGAGACCCACATCCTAAATTATGAATTCTATGTATAATATGTAAATTTTCAAAGATGTCTTGCCAATGAGTAAAGGTGAATGACAGAAAACAAGTAATTTTTTAGTAGAAAATGGAAAAATGGAGAGAATAGAGATAGAGAAATCTGTCTCTCACAAGATTGTTTTGTAGTAATGTTCATTGGGTTGTACAATACTTAAAATACTCAAGGTCAAGTTTTAAAGTAAGCATGACCCTAAAACATTTGTATCATACATGCAGTAATATATCCATACACATACTCATCTTTAAGAAATGATTTGAACATAGTGTATTTTACTAGGGGAACAACTTAAATAGGTTATCATTATACAGTTTCTAGAATGACAGTCCTTGGACAAATTCATTGTAATATGCCAAATCAGGGAGAGGGGAAGACTATTAAACCAGAACACAAAGAATTATATTATCATATGACCTGACTCATAGTGAGGTCTGCATGGAGAAATATATACATTTATCTGTTAATCTTTCTACAATATAGCATTCCAATAATTTTAGTCCAAATCTGATTTCATCATCATACCTGTAGTTGGTTGATTTTGATATTTTGTTTGTTAATGTTTTAGTCCGCCTCTATGTATGCGAGTTACATTCCAGTGTTTGTAGATTGACATTCCAGTTTTTATGGTATATATCTAGGTTTTCCAAAGAAGCCTATTGTAGATTATCTAAGGCAAGAGGTAGATTATGTGATGTTATTCCATATGTAAAACCAGCAATATTCCTACATGGAATAAATTTTACAGGTGTACAATCACATGACAACAACATGTAGTTGTTTGGTTTTATAATTGTAAATGTGAATGACTTATTTCACAGGTGAATGTTTGTGTGTAAAGACACACTAGAAACAGGAGAGATGTTTAAAGATCATATTGAAGATATACCATTGGATGAGTGCTATAACCATAGGTTAAGGGTTTAAATGATGAATACATACAGCCGCAATATTATAGGAATAACTATTATAGCTGTTTATAAAATATTATCAGAAAATACATATCATATATCATGTTTGTGATGCAAAATGTCTCTTTATAACCGTATGTATTTATATGGCAGTAATGTTATTATGGAAGAAAATGGCAATAAAAACAGCCAAAAGACTAAATGCTTCTGTTTTCTTTGTTGGGATATTGTATGAACAATAACTGTATAACGGTGTGATGGCGGCTAATAACAGTAAAAACAAACTACTTCTGTCACCCATAGTTTAAACAACAATTTCAATGCCTAAAGGTGGAAACTACCATTCTTGGCTAGTTAACAGCTTTCATTAACACTCTGATGCTGTCTTATGTGTCTTTGGTTCTGCTGCATGTAATACGATCAGTATTTAGAACTAGACAGTGAAACGTTTTCTCTTAGGATTTCTGTCCTATTTTTGAGAGTTAATTTATTGAAGATTTTGTAGCATGTATGTAATACTGTATACTTTCTGTTGGTGATGTCTGATGGTCATAATTATACAGTTTAGTCTTTGAAACCAATAACTCGTGTCAGTCATATGACCATCTGCGTTAAGGTTTTAACGCCATATCTGTATATTAATGGGTAGAATTCTTGTCATAGTTAATTGATATTGTCAAAAATATATCTGTGCGTCTTTTCAGATTAACACTGTTCTCTCTGAATTTCTTGTTTATCAAGACATTCCCAATGCAGAATAAGATCTCCTTCACCACCTCTAACTGAATGTTTTGTCGTAAGGATTTCTGTTCCACTTGTGCCGCTGCACAACTCTTTTCTGACGACAATATTTTCTTGTGAAAATATCAAAAATACCAGTACCGTACCATTCGTGTGTATCAAGTTTTGGACGGTAACTGACGTCGCTAAAGTAAAGACTTCCATGACACATTGCTGTGGCTGGTAGAAGTGAAGCAAGCTTTCCTCCAAACTCGCTTGATGACCATTCTTCGGTTTGTTTTGCGTCCTGTCCTGTGTTCACAACATTGTGTAAAGGTCCCACTGCAATAAAAGAGTCACCTTCCACAATGATGTCTGGGTGAGGTGGTAGACAACTTAGAATTACATTAACTGTTCTAGTATTGGAGAGGTCAACTACTGGCATCAACTTGTAGAACCCAGACTGGAGCTCATCAACCTTGATATGTACCAGTGTATTATCATCGTTCTGGTATGTGAGTTGTGCCTTAAAGTCAGCAAATCTACTCCATCGCTTCATCTCAGCATCAGTACCCTTGGTAAGAGTGATATTTACTCTTGTAGTAGTGGTTTGTATTCTTCCCTTTGTACGATGAATGTGGACCACCTTGGCATTCCTTATAACAGATGTTCTATGAGATCTGCATGACTGAACAGGTTGCTTTTCCTTCTTCTTTTTCCTTTTTAAACATTTCTGATTCAATACCAGCTGCTTCACGAAATCCAATTTCCGCTTTGAAGATAATTTACCCATGTTAACTTTATGGTTATTCTTCTTTGCCATATAGGGACTGTCCTTATTTACAATTACTTCGTCTGTTCTGATTTCAACCTTTGGAGAAATGGGCTTAAATTTTGGAATCTCCTTTTTTGTTTCCATTGTCCCAGTTACAGATATTTTGTTGCTGTCGTCCTTGCCATGTATAAGGAAGAGTTTGTCGCCATATTTAACAGCATAAACAGGTTGTTTACAGTTGCCTTGTGATATCTGAGCACGGTTCCCCATTACTACAGTTCCAGATTGTGTTGACGTTCTGTGCAGGATGCCCTTAGTGAGGGATTTAGCTGGCGAAGCTTCTGGAGTCTTTGTATACCTATGATCCGACAAGTGTACACTGTCATCATCATCATCATCATCGTCATCGTCAATATCTAAACTTTCTTTATGAGGTTCTTCGCATTTCTCTTGTTTTATTGCTTCTTCAGAGCAATCCAACACCTCCACAGTATCATGGGATTGTGGAGATGAAGATATTACGTCTACCGAACAGCTTGTATTACCTACATGTAACTGATTTAGCTTTTTCAACAACAAAGTATCGTCATTCTGCAATGGATCGTTTATATTATCGCCGATTTCTGCGTCATTTTTCTTCAATTCCGTCGCCTTAATTTCATCTTGTTCTGACGTGCGCCTTGGCTTCGCCGCATCCTCTGAAGCTTCTGCATCGTCCATTTGTGCACAATAATCAGCATAAGATATGGCATGAATAAGACGCTTAGGAGTAGTAACGTTCGGCTTTGTTTCAGGAGTTAAGAATGACTCGTTGGATTTGACTGGAAAAATTTCCTGAGATTTACTGATGGCAAAGCTTCCCATCTGGACCAGTGGTTTTGATGCTGTGGCACTTTTAACCGGTAGCAGTTTGGTACTTACTGCATCAGCCTCCTCGGTAACTACATCTATAGCCTTTTTAGGTGAAAACTTAAAAGAGATCGGACTCTTCGATCCTATTTCATTTTTGTATGTTAATGCAACACGATTTTTCGGCGATGTTCTATTGATTTTCATTTGAATTCCTTCAACTGGAAGCTTAAATTTTTTCATGTATGGGAACGAATTTGGATTGTTTACATGTAAAGCATTTGACTTGAGCGCTTTTGCTAGCGTACTTCGTTCTGTGTCGCTAATCGTAACTGGTTTGTCTGATGACTTTCCGGGCTGTTTTCCTTCTCCTTTCACGAATCCACTGATCTTTCTATATCCAGATGGACCAGGTTTTACTGTCTCGTCTTGTTTTTTCCGATTTCTTTTCTGTTTAAGTTTTGTCAAAACTTCTTCACTTTCATTACTATCGATTTTCTGGAGTCGAACGAGCTCCGCCGAAGCCGTTTTTGAAGTATCTGTGCACATTTTATCAAATGTTGACGATTTGGAGCAAGTCGCAGTTTGTACAACTTTGGAAATTTCTCTGAAATTAGGAACATGTTTTGACTTGACGAGAATATTTGGAACGTTTTTCGGTATGCCATGTGTCCAGTCCTCCAGCGTTGCGTACTCCACCTTGGTGCTAACGGCACTTGCTGATATTGCTGTCTTCAGCATTTTTCTTGTCTCCTTTAGCTTGCTCACACTAGACAAAGGAACAGAAGAACATCGTTCTTTAGGGATCACTTCTTCTTTAAGTGATACTTCTTTAGCGGAATTACAGCGCACATACTGTTTTTGGGTGGGTCTTTTTCTGGTGCGGTGTGCTGGGTTATTATCGGACAGCTGTCTGTTCATGGACTTGATAGAGGTGAAGGTGGAAGGACCCAATGGTTCACATTTTAAAGTCGATAGATACGGCGAAGTGTTCATGTCATTAGATCCCGGAATATCGCAAGCTACTTGTTTTTCTCTCATTAATTTTGCTGTTATATTCTCTATTTTGATCTTGGATTTCTTACTTCCTTTTGATATATCTAAACAATCGATCATGTCAGTATTAGAAGTATGCCTTTTTGCGGAAGAATCGTGTCTCTTAACGGCATAGGGTGTGGATTCACATGATTGTTCGTTTTCAATGCAGACACAATTTCCTTCAATTTGCATCGGCTTTTCATCGACTGCTTTTCCGGAAAGTCTTGCATATTTGCTCTCTGTAGCAGATGTGTTCGTTCCTTTGATACCAGGGTCCTGTTTACCAATATCGTTGGTATGTTGAATTTTTCTGAACGACTTTCCGACGTTTTTCTCCTCTTCATTGGAATCATCGTCAGGTTGATGACTTTTATCTAAAGGTTTGCCAAATCTCATCCCCACAACTATAGGTACGTTCGATGCCTCTTTTCTTCCATACTGTGTGTCAGTTGATACTGATATGTTCTCTTTTGCATTGCTTGTCATATTGCCCTCTCCAACATCCGCTTCTACATTAATGTTTATGGAGGTAGAAAAATAAAGCTTTCTGCGTTTTGGGGACGATTCATGGTTTTCTGTTTCGCGAGTCTTGGTATTTTCGTGATCGAAAACATGTTTAGGAGGCGCCATTTTTCGGTCGTTGTTTCTAGTTGGTCTATCGTCAAGAGATACTTTATCTCCGAGACTGTCGTCCTTAGAGTTATCGGTAGTATTTGACGGAACACTTCTACATTTGGCTTCTCCTGAGCACCTATTTACTTGCGAGGCGTTTTCGGGCTTTGAGTAGCTGACTGTAGTATTAAGGAAAGACCTTTGCTGAATGTTACACGTGACGCCATCCGGCAGATTAGCAGGCTCGAGTTTTGTCAGCGCTACAGTGGCAGATTTGATTGGGTGAACATCAGGGTGGACCTTCATTTTCGTGGAGCCTTAAGTATAAATACATGTACATAGAGTTCCATGCAAGTTAGTATCAGTGTCATGTGAGAATATATATTTGATCGCATAGGGAAAAAACGAAACTGGTAGAGGTTGTTTGATACGATCTTATGAATGAATTTGATTATTATTTTCATTCTTGCGATTACAACTTATTATTTTCATTCTTGCGATTACAACAAGCAGATATTTTATTTTTAATTCATCGCTTTATCGCCATCATCTTTAATCAAATCTGGATGGAAATACCGATCTGAACTATCTTTAACATCTGGATAGTGGTAATTATCACTGTTTTCTCCGTCTATTTATCTATTACTAATCTATACCACAATCTCACATGTGATCTTTTTGGTGCCATTTGACTTAATCAGCTCAGTCATTCTCCAGTCCTTACGTCAGATCGATGCAGCATTATCCGATCAATGCAGTCAACTCGTGGTCGCCATTGGAAACGCAGTGGACCTGAAATGACAATATCAGTGTCGTGTAGCGAATCATCACAAATCGGTAAATCTCTTTTGTACATAGGTTAAATGACCCATGATACCATCAATATAATAAAACAATGTTATACATGTACATGAGTGCGGGAGCACTAAATGCCGACAAAGAAATGCAGTACACGAATGTCTGATGTCACTTGTAATTATCACCATCTTTGCTAAGTATAAAAGATTCTTGAAAGACAGCCAGCATGTATGAAAATGAATCAAGAGGCAAAATGATGCAAAGTAACTCAAGCTAGAAGCTTAGACTACAGCAACTGCAAATGAGGCTAAATGAGATGTTTAAACATACATGTAAGTAGATAACAAGAACGACAGACTAGATCTACAACAGATCAGATCTGAGGGGCGTGTTGTCACCTAAATAGGGAATGACTTGGAAGAAGAAAGAAGAAGATAAAAAAGACGACTTGTGAAAAATGGTTTATGTTGAACATAGAATTTTTCCTGTTAATTTTTCTCTCACGAACTGTAACTTGTACACTACCATCGCTTGCGCACCATCATTCTTTACCAGGTGTCGCTCCTTACGGTGTTATGGAAGGTACCACAATGTACTAGAGAGATTGGTTCATGTTTTTGTAAACTGTGTTTATCGACCCACCAACAGTCAAAATTATTTTGAGGCGGGGTGTCCTTGTAATCGCTGGTACCTCAAAGAACAACATACAGAGGACCGTCGCAATGGGGAAATGAGAAGGTAAGGATAAGGCTGTGAAATAAAATTGGAAAAACAATATGAAAGTCATCCAGTACTACCCCACCTTGTCTCGTGTGACCTAATAATGTCACAGTTTGAGTGTGAATGCAAAAAACTTCTCTTGCATTGTTACACATCCTCTGACATGATACTGTAATCAGGGATCGCTTATTATTTGATGCTCTTGATACGTTCAGTCATTAGTTAGAATCGAACTCCAAAAGAAATACGACGTTACCTCGCGTTGGTCTTTGTTGGTGCAAAAGTTGGTGTATGATTATCCGATATAAATCGCTAGAAGATGACACAAAATATTTTCAATGCTATTTCGATATTGACAGCTGCTATATACACGGTATGCATATTGGCGAAATACAGCGATAGTGTTTCCTGTCATTTTTTACTTAAAATTATTGTCAAACTATGATGTGCACAATTGCCTGTTAGTAAAATGTTATTTCTACAACTTAATGTATATTGTAAAATAGGTCATAATTTACCCTTTATTTCACGTGTTTTACGTCCATTATAACGGCCTTTCGGTCTTTCAGTGGACGAGCGTAAAATAGGTAAACACAATAGGTAAATGCAACAGAGACGGGTGTATACCATCTCATTACATTTGGCATTGTGTTACGAGGATATAGATATAGTACCACGTGAATTGATGATTCTAATTAGACTGAAGTTTTGAAAAATTTCAACAACAGATATTTCATTTATCAAATGTACAAATAATAGCTTTGACCGTTACTTCGAATGAACACAACGTTCATTTCATTACAGTATTTAAAAAAATCCCTGCAGTGGAACAAACATAACACTAGACGGATTGAACAGATTAGAATCTATTTAACCTTTCAAATAGGTCAAAAATCTTTGGTGCTCGCAAACTTTGTGTAGCACTCGGCGTCAATATGCTACTGGCAAGATCACCTGAGGTTTTTTTATAACCTTAATATAACCTAGATATTCAGGAGAAATTATCTGAACGATTAACAAATCTAATGCTTTGATCTTTTTGAATTTAGTTTAAACATGTTTAATTTTAACGTTGTGGTCAAGGCTTTTGTAATCTTGGCAAAACTATCAGATGAAATCGTTTGCGTGTTTTAACAAAATTTTCATCTAAGGTACAACATGTTTAGTTTTGTGTATTTCATTTTTAAACGAACTTAATTATCGTTTGAGATATTTTTCAGTCATTGTGTTTAATCTTTCATCGTTTTAACGTATAATAATACATTTTTATTGTAAATATTCTTGTATGTCTTGCTCAAAATCTACCATGAAACGATCTATCCTGGTATGTTGTGAGCGCCAGGTATAAATCCATGCATTTTGCTTTCTTAAGCTCTGAGTTCGCTTTATTGGTGCATTGGCAAAGGTGACAGAATTTCTCTGATATTTTTTTTAAATATATGAATGTACAACAAAATAGCAAAAGATGAGAAATTTGGTATAATTTAGTGAATTTTGATGGAAAGTAGAAAGAAAAGATAAAAAAAATATCAATGAAGAAATGCATGAACTCTTTAGGATTTCAAGTCTTGTTTTTTTGTTTCATCTCCATGTCGGGCGGAATTAGCAGACATTGTTGTATGTATATGTTAAAGGTAATTTCTACCGAAAAATAAAGAACCCTTTTAGCACATAATGTCAGCAATTAACTGTCCTGCAGATATCATGAGTCCATGCATATCTGTTGAGTAGTTTCCATATTTAAACACATATCAAGGGTTTGTAGCTTTAAATGTGGGTCAAGGTAATTACTTTGCGTAAACTTGTTTCTATAGTAGCCAGCAAGACGCTCACAAAAAAAGGACGTTGTCTTATAACAAATAAGACAACGTCGTCTGTCACAAGATTAGAACCAAGCTCCCTTGGCCATACAACATTACCAATAAACAACACGGCAGATTATTTCTTAAAACGTTTAATATTAGACCAGCATTGTGTATTACATAAACCGATGCCGTTTTACCGAAATAGAGATGTACGGAGTAATTTGAAAGTGATCTCCGACATTGGTTAAAATCCGTACTAAACAGGTTTTCATCTAAATTATATTTTATTTTCAAAATCAGACGAATGGACCAGTGACAAGTTCTGCTTACATTCATGTCTCCACATACAATTATACATTAAGTTTGTTTCATTTAGGCTTCATCGTGATTTTGCTGATTTTTGTTGAGCCCCTGGTTTAAATGCACCCTGGTTTAAATGCAATGAAAAAATCATATTCATGTAGGCCTACTTAGTAGTATTTTTTCCTGAATGATTTCTTTCGTAATTGGGTGTAGGAAGGAAATCTGTAAATGCGGAAACGTTAGCTACATTAACATTGTGTTCGTATTTTAACGAACAGAGACAACTTATCTTTATAGTTTGTGAATAAATTTTGCTTTTCAATGCATCCCCTAATCAATTAGACGTAAAAAGAAAGAGAATACGCCGGATTTGTGGAATCGAAGACTTACCTGATTGTAGAGTGGATGACGGGGAAAAGTGTCCGTCAACTTGAACAGCAGAAACTTATGACGTCACCGACAAAGAAATGACGTCATCGAAACAGGTCTTGTTTTTATGACGTCAATATTTCTAATTACATATGCAATACGGACTATCACATACGTCTGCACAATTTGCAGACGTATTGTTCTCGAATTATATGAGTCTTCGTGATAAGGTTTCAGATGCATCTATATGAAAGGTGTTGAAAACATTACTTTGATAACTTTCGTTTTAGCCAAACGTGTATCATGTCATATCGCCTTGAAGTTTCGTCAGCCGGCACATAACGCTCCATTCTTTATTTCCTCTAAGCATTGATATGTCATTGAATGTAGCGATTTACCGTTAGTTTTGTCTTAAGGTAGGGAGAAATAACGGGTTCATTTCGTCCAGTCCATGCGAAATGATCTTCGTACTGTCTCCCATCGCGACGAAATAAGGAAGATTTCATGCTGTCGCTTTGAAATGATGACATTATTTACACTGTCGCCCTGCAAAAGGAGATTATCATGCTTTTTATCCTGTCTCATAAATGGTCCAAACTAATGAAAGACAGTATCATCATTTCTAATTTAATTGTTGTGTCAAACTATGATGATTTTTTCATTTCTGATACTTTTATTTCTAATACTGAAGACGTAGTTCTAGACTGAAATTCAGATATATTACAATTCTAGAAATCAGCGAGGTCAGCATCATAAATCAATGAAGTTCCATTTACAAGGTAATGTTATATTTGTATCATACTAGACTAAAGACAACGATCCAGGTTAGTTTAATCCGGGAACTCGGCCTTGACCCTGGCTTTTTAAGGACACCGTGATAAGATCCTACTTCCCCTCGGTCGACTAAGCCATATAAATCTCTGTCCATTAATGCTGTGATTGGAAAGTGCTCTGAACTAAAAACATGGTATGATATATAATGATTGGACGGCAGGATCAGTGAAACTCGCTCGAGCAGCAGTCAGGTTGATTTTGGTCGATAGACAAGCGTTCAATATTGTCTCATAACCACACAGTTAAGAGCTAGGTCATTCTAACTACAATAAACGGACATTTCCAATCTTACACTGTAACACTTGTATATATAACTCTCAAGTTATTTCGTGGTGATAACCGCTGGTTCTTTCCATCTTCATTTATGTTCAATAGTTTCACCCTGATAGCCGTTCACGACCTTGCTGTAAGACACATCTACACTCGACCGACGTCTGTTGCGCTGGTAATTCATCAACGATAATTATCGGACATCCC